ATGTAAAATCCCATTTTTAACCCATTTAAAATTCCTCCCCAAATCCCCATTCTGGCAGAGCAGGGAAGGGACAGCGGATCAAGGGTGGCAGCCCTGGGGTGTGACAATAAACGATGTTTGCAGCACCAACCAGGGAGAAAATCCTACTGCCAACCCCAGAGGGAAATCCCACTGCCAAATCCAGGGGGAAAATCCCACTGCCAACCCCAGGGGAAAATCCCACTGCCAAATCCAGGGGAAAATCCCACTGCCAAATCCAGGGGGAAAATCCCACTGCCAAATCCAGGGGGAAAATCCCACTGCCAAAATCAGGGGGAAAATCCCACTGCCAACCCCAGGGGAAAATCCCACTGCCAAATCCAGGGGGGAAATCCCACTGCCAAATCCAGGGGGAAAATCCTGTTACCAAACCCGGGGGAAAATCCCACTGCCAAATCCAGGGGGAAATCCCACTGCCAAAATCAGGGAAAAATCCCACTGCCAAACCCGGGGGGAAATCCCACTGCCAACCCCAGGGGAAAATCCCACTGCCAAAATCAGGGGAAAATCCCCCTGCCAAATCCAGGGGGAAAATGCCAAAGCCAGGGGTGGCAGCTCCGGGAGAGCTCCGGAGGGGATCGGAACTCACCTGGCTGGGAGCAGAGTGGGGACACCGGGAGGGACCTGCCGGGATAAAACCCATCCTGGGGACATCGGGAGGGACCGGGGATAAACCCAGCCTGGGGACATCGGGGAGGGACCTGGCAGGGTATAAAACCCATCTCCAGGAACACCAAGAGACAGGGCTGGGACACGCTCACCTGGCTGCTCTCCTTGGGATGAAAAAGACAAAGGGATGTAGAGTTTTCTGCTGCTTTTAAGGAGAATTTCTCTATCCCCTCGGATTTACCTGCACAGGGGATGCACAAGGTGAGCAGCAGTGCAGAGAGAAACAGGGATTTGGGAAGGTTTTGTGGACTCAAGAGAAGTATCAAGGACTGAACCAGGGATTTGGGAATGCTCAGTGCAGACAAGAGAAGTATCAAGGGCTGAACCAGGGGTTCCTGCACCTCTCTACTCCAGGAATATTGTCAGCCCAGGCAGAGAGGGAATTGCAGCTGCCTAACGCAGGGTTAGTGTGACAGGGGACAGGGGACAGCTGACAACCTGCCCTGGTGCTGGGGACTGCTGGAGGAGGCACATCCAGCCCTGCAGCCAGGGGCAGAGGAGCCGGAGCTCAGGAGAAACAGGGAAGGGGACAACAGGACATCAGAGAGGAGCCTTGGAGCTCTGTGCTCCTGCAGAGCCTCCCGGAGGGATGGAGCCAGGCTGGGGCTGGAACAGCTCCCACCAGAGCCCCCCTGGGCAGGGCCAGGGGCTGCTGAGCCTGGCAGGGGACCCCAACCTGACGGTGCTGCACACCCGGGACGAGGAGCTGGCCAAGGCCGAGGTCGGGGTGCTGGGCACCATCCTGGCCGTGGCCACCGTGGGCAACCTGGGCGTGCTGCTGGCCATGTACCGGCTGAGGAGGAAGATGAGCCGCATGCACCTCTTCATCCTGCACCTGGGGCTGAGCGACCTGGGCGTGGCGCTGTTCCAGGTGCTGCCGCAGCTCCTCTGGAAGGTCACCTACCGCTTCCTGGGGCCCGACCCCCTCTGCAGGGCCGTCAAGTACCTGCAGGTGCTCAGCATGTTCGCCTCCACCTACATGCTGATGGTGATGACCCTGGACCGCTACCTGGCCGTGTGCCACCCGCTGCAGTCGCTGCAGCAGCCCAGCCGCCAGGCCTACGCCATGATCGGGGCCACCTGGCTGCTCAGCTGCCTGCTCAGCCTGCCCCAGGTCTTCATCTTCTCGCTGCGGGAGGTGCGCCCGGGCTCGGGGGTGCTGGACTGCTGGGCGGATTTCGGGTACCCGTGGGGAGCGCGCGCTTACATCACCTGGACCACGCTGTGCGTCTTCGTGCTGCCCGTGGGCGTCCTCAGCGTCTGCTACAGCCTCATCTGCCACGAGATCTGCAAGAACCTCAAGGGCAAGACCCAGAGCGGCGCCCCTGGCTCGGGGGGAGCCACCGTGGCCGCTCCCGCCGGCCCCAGCCCCGCGGGGAAGGGCGGGCAGCCCTCGCGGGTGAGCAGCGTGCGCACCATCTCCCGCGCCAAGATCCGCACGGTGAAGATGACCTTCGTCATCGTGGCCGCCTACGTCACCTGCTGGGCGCCCTTCTTCAGCGTGCAGATGTGGTCAGTGTGGGACCAGGATGCTCCAGATGAGGGTGAGTTGTTGGAATCTGAGGTATTGATGATCCTGAGACTGTAGAAAGTCTCTGGCTGTCAGCCCCGCTGCCAAAGCAGAAGCCATAATTGGTCTGTGCTGGTTTCAAGGTTGTTTATTCTGTTTATCTCTAACATGTTCTGCTGCCCTGCCGCAGCTCTGTCCTGCAGGGCAGCGTGTGGGGCTCTGCCCTCAGTGGGATGGTACAAACATTAAATACCACAAACTACCTGTGCTGGATTTACAATAACGTGCCAATATCTGTCACCTACGTTGGACAGTGTGTCCCCAGCCTGAACCAACAGAAAAATGCCAACACCACAGTGAGACATGGAGGGCATGAAGAAGGAGAAAAAGGACAAGGCACACCCAATTTCCTCCATCTTGTCCCCTTTGGACCCCTTATCTAGAATCCTAAAATTTTACTTTTGCACCCGTGCCACACTTAATTATTACTGATATCAAACACTCAGAGCTTGTAATTCATCCTGTAAGATTGAAAACTCCTTTCCATGGCCAGAGATCACAGCCAGTGTCTCTGGGGGCTCTGTCCAGGGGGGTTCCTGACCCCTGCCAGGGTCCCAGACCTGCCAGGGCAGCCAGAGGGAAGCTCTGTATTCCCACAGTGAGTGGTAAAGGGACTGGGTGGGACCAGGATGCTCCTGATGATGGTGAGTGGTGAAGGGACTGGGGCACGGAGCCCTGGGGACGTTAGGAATGCAGTTGGGTTTTTAACAAATAAGAGCTGTTTGTTGTCTTGTCATGTAAAAATAAAAATCATGGGGAAGGCTACAAGTTTCCTTCCCTGTAATGCTTATAAAATACAAGTTTCAGAGCCAAGTCATTCCCTCCACCAGAAAAAAATACTGAAAAGTGACGATTTCTGGCCATCATCCATAGGGATGTGCAAAGACATCTTTGCCACGTGTCTTTCCTCTCCTCTGGGAATTTTCAGAGGTTTCAGAAGTGGATTTCTGAGTTCATATATTGAATGTTTTTCCCTGTAAATCTTCAGTAGTTTTCCTAACTTCTGAAGTAGCACTGCTAGTACTACTACTAGAAAAAGGGACTTCACCCAAGAGTGGAAGTTCTCTGGGAGATGCTTTGGGCAGCAGAGAGGCTGAAGGAAGGCCCAGGAGCTGCTGGGTCTCACCTCTTAGAGGACGTGCTCCAGCACATTGGCACTGCCAATGGAGGGTAGAGCCTGGCACTGCCAACTTTCCATGCCCCAGGAATGCCAGTGGGACGGGAATGTGAGCCAGGAGAGCCCCCAGCTCCTGCCCAGCCCCTGGGGATGTTTCATCTCTCTCTCTCTTGCCTTGCCAGAGTCCACCAACGTGGCTTTCAGCATCACCATGCTGCTGGCCAGCCTCAGCAGCTGCTGCAACCCCTGGATCTACCTGTTCTTCAGCGGGCACCTCCTGCAGGACGCCGGGCGCTGCCGGGGCTGCTGGGGCCGCCCCCGGGCCGGGCTGCGCAGAGCCAACTCCACGGGGAGCCTGTGCAGCAGGAAAACCACGATCCTGAGCCACAGCCACCAGGGCCACCAGGGCCACCAGGGCCACCAGGCTGGGGTGCCCCTGCACGGGGACAGCACCAGGGAGCTCTACCCGCCCTGTGACGAGGGCGTGACAGAGTCGGGCACGCTCTAGGCTGTGACACTGCCCAGGTGTGACAAGGCCAGGTGTGCCAGGTGTGACACGGCCAGCTGTGCCAGGTGTGACATTGCTAAAGTGTGACACCACCAGGTGAGACACCACCCACTCTGTTGCTGCAGAGCGTGGCTCTCCCCACCTGGTGGCACTTCGGGATCAGGGGATCCTGAATCTTCAGGATCAGGGGATCCTGAATTTTTGGGATCAGGGGATCCTGCATCCTTTGGGATCAGGGGATCCTGCATCCTTCGGGATCAGGGGATCCTGCACCTTTCAGGATCAGGGGATCCTGCATCCTTCGGTATCAGGGGATCCTGCATCCTTCGGTATCAGGGGATCCTGCATCCTTCGGGATCAGGGGATCCTGGATCCTTCGGGATCAGGGATCCTGCATCCTTCGGGAACAGGGGATGCTGCATCCACAAAATCCTCCTGGAGCGAGCGGAGTTTTTGTTCCCAGCCGCCAGCAAAGCAGCCGGAGCACGGCAGGCGGTAACGCGCCTCCATCTGCTCCAGAGCTCGCCGCCGCTTCCTCCTCTCCATCCCCGGGGCGTTGCTGGCCGAGCAGAGAGCGGGGACAGAGCTGTGCCCCGCGGGGCTGCAGAGCTCCTCTGGCCTGGAACTGCCCCCCTGCCGCGTCCCCGGGCCGGGCCGGGGCTGTCGCGTCCCCCCGTGCTGGGCACAGCTGTCCCGCACCCCGCTGTGCCCGCCGGAGCGCCCCAAATGCGGCGCTGGCACCCCCGAGGAGCTGCTGGGAGCAGCCCTGGCCCTGCTCCAGCTCAGCGGGCACATCCCGAGTGCCCCCGTGCCTGTGCCCATCAGCTCTGCTCCCAGCCCACCCCGTGCCCAGCATCTGCTGCACCCCAGGGAGCTGCTCCCACCCTGCTGCTGCTGCTGCTGCTGCTGCTTTGGGCTGATTTTGCAAGAATCAGGAGCCCAAACCCACCCGGGGCTCGGGGAGCAGGGAACTCAGTCCTCCTGCAGTCCCAGCCTGGCCCCTGCCCTGCTCCCAGGGGGCTGTTTTGTGTAGGAATAAATCATGGATAAGGCAGGAAAGAGCATCCATTAGCTCAGTTGAGCTCAAAAGCTGCCCAGGGGCATTATTCCTTCCACTATCACAGGCTAAAGCTGTCAAAATAAAACAGTAAAATATTTTGAAATCTTCAATATTTTCACTTTTTAATTGCCAGGCATTTGAATCAGATTTCTCAGAAGCTTCCACTCAGTGGTTTTGGCCTCACCTCCAGTCTCACAGTCACACCTCTCCTGGGTTTTCCAACGTTACCCAGGAATTGTTGGGGTTTTTGGAACGTTTTCCTTTACGTGCCCTTAGAGCTGGGCCAGATCAGCACCACAGGGTCATGAAAACAGGAGTGCCTGGCTCCCCCAGCCACTGATCAATCCCAAATCAATCGTCTCACAACCTTTCATTAAATCCCAGCGTTGCTGAGCCTGTTTAAAACACGTTTGGGGCAGCTCCAGCCCTGAGGAAGGGGAGGCAGCAGCTCCATCCCTCCCTGTGCTGGGAGGCAGCAGCTCCATCCCCCTCACAGAGGTCCCACTGGGGCAGTGTTCCCATTCCCAGGCACTCTGGAAGTTTATTTCTTGAAAATCCAGAAGTAACAAAATGCATAGTGAGGAGCAGGGACAGGGTTCAGGTGGGGAGAGACCGACCACAGCACCTGGAGCAGGGACAGAGCAGGGAAAGCAAAAGGTGGGAGACAGGGAGAGGGAAAAGCCAGTGGAAAAACTGTATTTTAAATGATTTTATGAGGCTGATGAGCAAAACAACATCACTGAGAGGAGCTGCCAGCCAGCTCAGTGTAGCTTTTGAGGATCACTCCATCTCCCTCCCTGAACTGCCCATTTTGAGAGGCAAGGGGGGGATGTTCATTTTGCTTTCATGAAACGAGGGAAAAAGGGCCATGACACAGAAGTGGAGAGCTGATTCCAGCCTGGCTGGGAGGAGCCCTCCCCTGCCCCACCCCACAGCCCTCAGGAACAGTGGAGGCTTTAAGGAAAAGCCAAGGAAGCTTTGTGGGTGGGGGTGGTAGAAGCGCTGCAGCCCGTGCCAGGCAGTGCCCCAGGGGAAGGGGACAGTGCCAGCTCTGCAGCTGCTGGGGGCTCGGGCGCCTATGGGCAGCAGCACCCTGGTGTGGCAGCTTCACCCTGGGGTGGCAGCTTCACCCTGGTGTGGCAGCTTCACCCTGGTGTCACAGCTCCACATCAGTGTCACAGCTTCACCTCGGTGTACTCCACACCCTTGGATGCCCTGGGGCTGGAGAAGGGCCAGAAATGTGTTTTCCTCTTCTTTGGATCCACGTTGACATAATCCATCCCAGACTTCACATTCTCGTAGTCCTGGGCAGAGCCTGGCTCGTGGCCTTTCCCTGGGAACACCAGGGATGTGTAATTGATGTTTTCCTCTAAGCCAGGGCCCTGCAGGAGCAAAATGAAGCCCAGGTCAGGCCCCAGCACCCAGCCAGGAGCCTTTGCCCTTAAGCCCATGCACCAGTTCAGGGAATCATGGAATGGGTTTAGTTGGAAGGGACTATAAAGCCCATCCCATTCCCTCTGCCATGGCAGGGACACCTCCCACTGTCCCAGGCTGCTCCAAGCCCCATCCAGCCTGGCCCTGGGCACTGCCAGGGATCCAAGGGCAGCCACAGCTGCTCTGGGCACCCTGTGCCAGGGCCTGCCCACCCTCAGAGAGAAGATTTTGCTTCCTAATTTTCCTAAAGTGCCCAGGGATGTTTCCCTCTGAATGAGGGGACACTGGAATGCTGCGTGTGACTGGGGACAACAACCACCTCAGCCCTTACTTATGGAATTTCAATGTGCTTGGATGGATTTGCCCCTCCTGATGCTGCCCTGGGGGTCTCCAGCTGCACACAGCAGCAGGTGGGCTGGGGATGATTTTGCCTGTGGTACCTGAGGGCAGGAAGTGTTGTCCGAGTCCTCGGAGGTGTCTGAAGATGTCTCACTGCTCCCTTAAAAACAGGAAACATTTACCACCCCAGCACTTCCCAGAGGGAAAAAGGGAAAAAGGGATCATGGGAGAAAAAGCAAACACGCTCAGAAGCGAAAATTCTGATCCATAAAGCATCATCTGATCCCTCCCAGCCTCACTTCCCTGGGAGAAAGCGGGCAGGCAGCAATGGGAAGAGGAGGCAGCTCCTGCTTGACCCTTCTCCCACCCCTGCTTCCACCCCCGGGGTGTCCAGAGCTCGTGAGGAAGAGACATCACAGAAATGAAACCCAAAAATTCCCATCCCTGTGCCAGGACAATGCCCCATTGCTGCAGAGCCCCTTACCTGCGTAGGCTGGTGATGGTTTTTGTGGCCCGGGGTGTTTTTGTGCCGTGTCCCCTCCCGGTGCTGGAGCTGGGCTGGGGTGAGGGCTGAGATGCTCCCCAGGGCTGCTGCTCCCCTGCATCCTGCAGGAATGCTGGGCTGGGAGCAAGAGGAGAGTGAGCCCTGCTGCCTGCTGTGCCCAGCACACCCCACCCTGCTCCAGCAGCCCCAGGGCAAACCAGCCTTCCCCAAAATAATGATTGCTGTGCTCTGGAGCAGGCTCATATCCATCAATTCAATCACTGAGACCATCCAGGGCCCTGTTCTCCTGCCAGGAGAGGCTCCAGTGACAAATCACAGGGTCAGGGCCTCTTCTTGCAAGTTTGGAGTGATTTTGACCCAAAGCAGAGCCAGGCTCTGTGCAAATGTGACCAGCAGTTGGTGTGAAAGAATTCCCTGCTAGAAATTGCAGCTTCATCTGAATTAATACTCTGTGAGCTGACTTTTGGTATTTCCCCAGCACTTTACTAAAAGAGCAATAAAAGCAAACAGTTTTGAAGCAGCACAAGGTTGTACAAAGCTCACCGATGTGTACAGCCATGTCACCCATGTCACCACAGCTCCCAGCCAGCCCAGCCCTGCCCTGCCCTGCCCCTTTCCCATCCCACACCCCACCCCAAACCAGGAAATCACCAGGGAAAGCCATTTTTTAATTACCAATTTTCCTGCTGAGCATGGTGTAAAGGGCCAGCAAGAGGAGAGGGTAGAGTATCAAGGTGACAAGTGAGGTGGCAGCAGGAAACCAGCTGGACGAGAGAAAATCATTCAGTCTCACTGAAATCACCAAATTCTTTTCAATCCCCCCATGGCTTCAAGGCACGTTCGAGGTTTGCTGGTAGCTTTTGGTTTTGCTTTTTGGTTTTGGGGTGACATGGCCCAAAACGTGGGGCTTGGTTTTCAAGAATGATTTGAGTTCCCTGCCCCTCATTTTTGGGGCCTGTCCCCAGAAGAGTTTTCAAAAGCCTCCAGGGGGGGAATGTGGTGCTGGAGGGGAGAGAGGCACAACAGATATGATGGAATTGTAGAATTGTGGAATGATGGAATGGGCTGGGTGGGGAGGGACCTTTGAAGGTCACCCCCTGCCATGAGCAGGGACGTTTCCAGCCAGACCAGGTTGCTCAGAGCCCCGTCCAGCCTGGCCTGGGGTGGTCCCAGGGGTGCTGTGAAGGGCTCTGTGCCCCAGGGTGCTGCACTCACCATGCACAAAAGCTCATCCTCCTGCTGAGGTGCCTCCAGGACCTGGGGAGACACAAAGAGGCAACAGGACCTGGTGGGAAGCAGAGAAATGGTCCCTTTGAGCCTCACGCTGCTCCACACTAGCTGGAGATCAGGCTCAGCACTTGCAAGCAGTGGTTGCATGTTGCAGATGTGAAATAAAGGGTTTTTATTTTATCCCAGCCCTCCCCCTGTGAGAATCCCTCTGGTTCACACCCTCACAGAGCCACGGGCTGTCCCTTATCACTGAATTAATGGCTTTATACAAGCTCATATCTGAGACTTGTCTGGACTTTCTGGGTCCCACTGCAACAGAACTGAAATTTGTTCTTCTTGCTTTAATCCTCTCTTGTGGTTCATTTTGTTTTATTTTCTTTTTCTCTTTTTAATCCATAAAAAAAAATAAAAGGAAGAAAACTACAAGATGAAGAAAAAAAATCCATGGAAAAAAGTAATCAAAGGAAGGTCATGGGTTGGTGTGAGACTCTTGCTCAGTCAAGGTCCAGACAGAAATATCAGAGGCCCTCCAACACCTCAGTGTCTGAAACACCTCGGATTTAATACTGTGAGAGCTTCAATCCTGGTGAGGTTAAGAGGGTTTAAGGCAGAAAAATCAGAAATCACCAACACCTGGGCTGGGCCCCTTGGCTTGGGACGTCTGGCCATAACACTCAAGAGATTTACAATAAAAGATAGGGGTGTTCATTTTGTAAAAATAGCAGTGAGGTGTTCCTTTTGTGAGCTTTCACTTGCAAAAAAGCACTTTAAATCCTCCCTCAGTGTTATACACTTGCTATTTATACATGGCTGATAGGGAGAGATCTTCAGCTGAGGCTTTAATACAGTGATTAAAGCAGCCATGATAATTTGATTGATAGGCTGATGGATAAATTGATAGAGCAAAGGCATTATCCATCCCGTGGAGCAGATTCTATCATTTCCTCTATGACACATTTCTGAGCTTAATTCATCAAAAACTTTCCTGATAACCACCAATCTCCTGCAAAATTCCACTCATGCAAACAGTTTGATGACTGCCAAGCTGAAAGTTCATTTCTTGCAGAAATTTCCCCCCTCCCTTACTGAATAAATCTGTCCCCAAATATCCTTCTCAAAGGGCTGCCACTCTTGAAAGGCTCATTTCCTACTGTGTGGCAGGAGATGCTGCTGCAGCAACAGATAAGGATCTGAAAAATGAGCTGTTCAAAAGGAAATTGCAAAATAAACCCCAAATCCAACTATCAGCAGCTTCTGTGCCGAGGTGGGTACGACAAGATGGAGGCGCAGATAGCGGGTGGGTATCAAAAAATCTGATTTGAGACAGCAGCCAGTGAGAGCCTGGCACCAAATGTGCTTTTTTGGGGGGGCTCAGGGAACTTCTGTGAGCCAGCAGCCTCCAAGACTTCAACCCTTTCTCAAGAAAATGCTGAAATCAAGGCTTGCAGGGAGCTGCTCCTCGGCCGGGCAGCGAGGGTCAGCCTGAGGCTAAACGTGAGTGAAAGCTCCAGAATGCCCCAAATTATTTTAATCCCACTTGAGCCAGGCCCAGCTGGCTCACTGAGGTTCAGGATGGCACCAGCACATGCCCAGGGGGATTCCCAGCCCAGCTCTCTCCCGCTGTTCCACCCTCTGCTTCCCGCGCCATCGCGCCCTGCGTGTGGTGCCCAGCGCGGCCTTACCTGGGCTCAGCTTTCCAACCTTCCCTTCCCTTCCCCACGGCTCAGGGCAGCTGGGGCAGGGCAGGCAGCAGGAATTGGGGCTGTTTCAGCAGGATTTGGGGCCGTTTCAGCAGGATTTGGGTGCAGAGCGGGGTCTGGCAGTGCGGCGGTGCCGGATGCGGTCACGCTCTACCCCCAGGTCAGAGGCACCAAGGAGCCCACACGAGTCCCATGACACCTCCCCCCTGCCAGCAGCCTCATTTTAATATATTGGGGTGTTTCTCTGCTCTTCTGGAGTTGTTTTGCTCCTGCACCCCTCCCTCAATTCTCTGTCTTCCAGCAGCTTTGTCCCAAAATTCAGCTGAGCTTCCTCGGAGCAAAGCGGTGCTGGGGGAGCTGTGCCCAGCTCAACTCAGCTGCCACCCAAAACGAGCTCTGGGTGCTTCCAGGCAAACATTTTACACGGGGATGAAGCATTTTAACATCACCCAACTCCATGGCTGCTGAGGCTGGGTGGGCCTCCACCTGCCCACGCTCTGGAAAATGTTCTGCAAGCTTTGGGGTGCAAGCAGCAGCCTGGCAGGTCCCATCCTGAGAGTTCCCCCGAGGTTTGGGGAGTGCTGGCTGCTGCTTCATAGGAACTGTGGTGTTTGTAGCCCTGGAGGTGCCCTGGCAGAAAGGAACAAGAAATTCCCTTTTTTTCAAGGTGCCTGACTCATGGGGATGGTGCCTGCTCACCTTTCAACATCTCAGCCCACAGCAATCCTGTCCCAGGGATGTAACATCCCAAAGGATCCCCCTGGATTATCTAAAAGCAAAAAGAAGATTTCAAAAAGCATCACCTATCCGTGGAGCTGCATCACAAGCTGGAGTCACTTCCTAAATTCCCCTTCATCGCTGGGACTGCTCCCACCATCATCACCAGCTCCGTCATCAGAGGTTGGTCCTGCTCTCCTCACAGCTGCTGCACCCCAGGTAAATATTTTGGGGTTTATTTAACCGAAACTTGCTTGTTTGTTGATTTTTTTCAGGTGAGACTTTGCTGCTGCAGCGCTTTCAAGTGCTCGGTGGTGGATAAGCAGATTAACAGGTGGGAGAAGTGTCTGATAAAGGCAGGAAAAAAGGGTTTTTTTACAAAACACTGCTGGGGCACAGTGTGAATCAGCCAGGGTAGTGGCTCCACTAAAGGAAATGTGTAAGAAGGAACACAGATAACACATTTTTAGCCTGAGAACAGGTTTTTTAAACAAGGAAAGTCCTTCACACACAGCTGGTGAGAGGTATTTTTTTCATCCAAGGGGAAAAATCTATTTTTGATCCAACTGTGTGGGCCTGGAGGGGTGGGACAGAGCTGGGGACAGCCCCTGCCTGGCAGAGGCCATTCCTTTCTTACCAGACAAATATTGCAGGAGCTGGGGTCACCTTTCCTCAATTTCTCCAGGGCAGCACAGGCTGGTCCTGCCAAGCTGAGGGACATCAAAGCTGGGAAACTGGGCATCTCTTCCCTCTGCATGGTACAGCTGGAATATGTATGAAACAAAGCCTTTTTGACCCAATTTTCTGTGCAAATCCAGCCCAGTTGCTCCCAAAACACAGAGAATAAATAACCCCACTACTTTGTTCTACTTGAATTAACAATTTTGAAGTGGCCCTAAGAGTTGAGCTTTAAAATTGCTTCTAAAATAACTCAAAAGTCAAAATAGATTTGCTTAGCTGCAAAAATTTCTAAATGAAAGGTCTGGCCTTGTTATGACTTTCATCTTCCTATTTTAATGCTGAATCCGCTGCCAGGAGTTTGCAGATTATGATGATCCAATTGGGGGATATTTTCCACAAAATAAACTATTTCACTTAAAGTGTTTGGCATGTCTGTGCTGCTGCTCACCCTCACTTTTATCTCCAAAGCCCAGTGACCCTTCAGGCTGGGTTTTCTGATGGGATTTTTGGGTTATAAACCATGTCTGGAACAATCCACTTGCTGTTTTCAGCTTATCTGGCATTTGCTGCAGCTGCTTTTGTTTTAGAAAGTTTCTTTCTAATCCATGAATATGTGATTAGGAGAAGGAGGGAGGGTGGTACATTAAACTGCATCTCAAAAGGGGAAATAGAGAATAAATTTGTATGAAAGCCATTCAGTAAAAAAAAAAAAAAAATTGCAGCATGGGGGAGTGCAGGGAATTTTCATTTGTTTTGAAAAAGCAGCTGCATTTGCCATTGGCATCAACTGTGCTGTGCCCAATATTTTTCTGCTCACATTGAGAAATATTTGATGGATTTTTTTAAAGCTTAATCTGCCCGCAAAGCTGGGGAGAGAAGGGGTCTGGCAGCATCTCCAGGGATGGGGACACAAGATCCCGGTGACAGCAGGACATGACTCAGCTGTCCCCAGCCACCCTTGGTACCTGTGCCTCACAGATGAGGACTTTAATTTCCTGGGTGAGGGCTTTAATTAGATAAAATTTAATTCGATAAAACAGGCTCGCTGAGACAAACAAAAAATTGATTAGCACGGTGCTAAACCCTGTTAATCACGTGAATGGGGCTGGCTGAGCAGAACACCCCCTTTAGCACCCGCCATCGGTTCTTTTAGTGCCAAAACCATGGAAAATAAGGGCAAGATGGAAAATAAAGGCCTGGGAGATGGAGGCAGGAAAATCCTCACCTGCCCCCACTTGCTGTTCTCACTCACCTCCCCCCGTGTCTGAAGGTTTTATTTGTTCATCAGCGTTTTCTGTTTGCACTCGCAGAGGCTTTAATGAGACACCCGTGTTGGATAAAACAAAACTGCCAGGGGACGAGCCCATCAGGGCCTGCAGAGCAAAGGGAGCTGTCTCCCATGGAAAGCTGAGCCAAACTAAGGATTCCCGAGCTGTTCATCACTGCTAATTAGTCTTGGCCTTTTAAAATTAGCTCGGTGGCTGATGGTACAAACACATCCCTTTCCTGCACCTCCCTGCAGCTGCTGGGTTTGGGGCACCCCACGGTCACGGGCAGCTCCCTGGGGTGGGGCTGGGGGGTGAAGGAGAAGGGTAATATTCCTATAAAGCATTTTGGGGGGTTTCCACCAGTTGGATAAGGTGCTGGGATGGGCACTGGTGCTGGGATGAGGACCCCATTGTGCTCCCTCTGCGGGATCTCCAAAATCAGCCCAACCCGCCCCTGCTCGGCTCCCACAGGCCCCCCAGCGCCGTCCTCACCCAGAAAAGCAAACGTGACCCCAGAGCGCCCGCTCAGCCTCGCCTGGGCCGTGGCCAGTGATTCATTGTGGGTGCCCGAGCCCGGTGTTGACTCTGGCAGGGCCGCTATTGAGCCTGGCACCGCGGGTATAAGAGCAGAACCGCGGCGGGCACAGGCACCGAGCCACGCCATGAGGCGCCTGCTGCTCCTGGCCGCGCTCTGCCTGGCCCTGGCCGGCGCCCTGAGGAGGTAAGGGGGTCCCCAGGGTGCCAGGGTCTGGGGGATTCACTGCCAGGGCGGTGACGGGTGGCAGAGCTCAGCTGGGCACGCCACAGCTCTGCCGGAGCAGTGGCACCGTGCTGGCATTTCTGGGTTCTCCGTCCCTCTGGGCAGAGCCTGGCAGCAGCAGGAGAGGCTGTGAAGGGATTTGTGCAAGTAGGGAAGGCAGAAAAAGCCAGGCTGGATTCCCCTTGGCTCTGCTCACCCTGCCCAGCCCAAAAGTCCTTCCCCTCGGTGGCACCGAGCTGCCCCTGCTGTCAGTGCCAGGGCCTGGATGCTCTGCTCTGGCCTTGATTTCCTGTGCCCCAAAATACAGCCAGTGCCCCTCTTCTGCTGGGCCTCGGCAGGAAATGGCTGTGGGGGGGGATGTGGGTGCTAAACCTCCATCCTGGCAGTGCCAGGACCCTCAGGGTGGGCAAAGGATGTGGGCAGCACCCATGGGAGCGACCAGGACCGTCAGGGTGGGTATGGAACGTGGGCAGCACCCATGGGAGTGACAGGACCCTCAGGGAGGGCACAGCACCCTCAGTGACCATGCCCTTCCCCTCAGGGTGGGCACAGCACCCATGACAGTGCCCAGCACCCTCAGTGACCATGCCCTTCCCCTCAGGGTGGGCACTGCACCCTCAGGGTGGGCACAGCACCCTCAGGGTGGGCACAGCACCCTCAGTGACCATGCCCTTCCCCTCAGGGTGGGCACAGCACCCATGACAGTGCCCAGCACCCTCAGTGACCATGCCCTTCCCCTCAGGGTGGGCACTGCACCCTCAGGGTGGGCACAGCACCCTCAGGGTGGGCACAGCACCCTCAGGGTGGGCACAGCAGCCTCGGTGACCATGCCCTTCCCCTCAGGGTGGGCACAGCACCCTCAGGGTGGGCACAGCACCCTCAGTGACCGTGCCCTTCCCCTCAGGGTGGCACAGCACCCTCAGTGACCATGCCCTTCCCCTCAGGGTGGGCACAGCACCCTCAGGGTGGCACAGCACGCTCAGTGACCATGCCCTTCCCCTCAGGGTGGGCACAGCACCCTCAGTCACCATGCCCTTCCCCTCAGGGTGGGCACAGCACCCTCAGGGTGGCACAGCACCCTCAGTGACCATGCCCTTCCCCTCAGGGTGGGCACAGCACCCTCAGGGTGGCACAGCACCCTCAGTGACCATGCCCTTCCCCTCAGGGTGGGCACAGCACCCTCAGTGACCGTGCCCTTCCCCGCAGGGTGGGCACAGCACCCTCAGGGTGGCACAGCACCCTCAGTGACCATGCCCTTCCCCGCAGGGTGCCCCTGAGCCGCCGCCGCTCCCTGCGGACGCTGCTGCGGGAGCGGGGGCAGCTCTCGCACCTCTGGAGAGCCCCGGGCGGGCCGGACGCCAGCAGCGAGGACTGCGCCGCCTTCTCGGAGAGCAGCGAGCCCCTCATCAACTACCTGGACGTGAGCAGGGTGGCACACGGGGCTGGCAGCACCCGCACTTTGCCCCAGCAGTGCCCGAGGCCCAGCCGCTTCCCTCAAACCCCGGTCCGGGCAGTGCCCGGCGTGCCAGGGCTCGCTGCCCGCCCGGCTCTTTGTCCCCGGGGAGCGCAGGATGAGGACAGGGAAGGGCATTCATGGCAGGCACTGCCAGCCCCCTCCCTCCCTGCCGCGCCCTGTCCCCCCCCGGGCACAGATTCACTCCAAAATTCATGTTACACGCTTTTCCTGGCAGAGCCCCCCACAGGGGTGGAGGGAGCTGCCCAGGAGAATCCCACTGCCCAGGAGAATCCCGCTGCCCTGAAGAATCCCACTGCCCCAGAGAATCCCATTCCCAAGGAGAATCCCACTGCCCCGGAGAATCCCACTGTCCAGGAGAATCCCACTCCCCAGGAGAATCCCACTCCCCCAGAGAATCCCACTCCCCAGGGGAATCCCACTGCCCAGGAGAATCCCACTCCCCAGAAAATCCCCACTCCCCCAGAGAATCCCACTCCCCAGGAGAATCCCACTCCCCAGTTCCCCCACCTGCTTCCCCTCAGGGCCCAGCCTTGCCAGGAAGAGGCAGAGGCCTGTACCCACCGTGCTGCCTTTTGTCCTCAGTCCCCATTGCTGTTCCTTAAATATTTGTCTCCTTTATTCCACCTGGCACGGCACGGATCAAACACTGAGCCCCATCCATTCCCTGCAGACACCGCAGGTTTTGTTTTAACAGCATTTCTGGCTGTGCTGGTGGCTCACAGTGCTCTCTGCCCCCTTCTTTGGCAGATGGAGTATTTTGGGCAGATCTCCATTGGGACACCACCCCAGAATTTCACCGTGGTGTTTGACACGGGCTCCTCCAACCTCTGGGTGCCTTCTGTCTACTGTGTCAGCAAAGCCTGCAGTGAGTGGGGAGCCCCTGACCCCAGAGAGGCCATGGGCCATCAGCCCCAAGGCCATGGGGACAGAAATCCAGGGGTGAAAGCAGGGGTGACAGCTCAGCAGGGGACAAACGTGGCTTTTGGGGATGTCAGAGATCAGCCAGCTCCACAGAACCCAGAGGAACCAAAGCATCCTTGAGCAGTCTCCGGGCTGCCTCGGAGCCAGTGGGAATTGTGGACTGGGAGTGGATCCACAGGGAATTGGAAAATGGCAGTGGATCCCGCAGGGAACTGGGGAATGGGACTGGATCCTGCAGGGAATTGGGGAATGGCAGTGGATCCTGCAGGGAATTGGGGAATGGGAGTGGATCCTGCAGGGAATTGGGGAATGGCAGTGGATCCTGCAGGGAATTGGGGAATGGGAGTGGATCCTGCAGGGAGTTGGGGAATGGGAGTGGATCCTGCAGGGAATTGGGGAATGGACTGGATCCCACAGGGGACTGGGGAATGGCAGTGGATCCTGCAGAGAATTGGGAATGGCAGTGGATCCTGCAGGGAATTGGGGAATGGGAGTGGGTCCCACAGGGAACTCGGGAATGGGACTGGATCCTGCAGGGAATTGGGGAATGGACTGGATCCCACAGGGAATTGGGGAATGGGGCTGGATCCCACAGGGAATTGGGGAATGGGGCTGGATCCCACAGGGAATTGGGGAATGGGGCTGGATCCCACAGGGAATTGGGACTGCTGCTGGCTGTAACCAGGGACACCAGTGCTCATCTCGGGACTCATTAAATGTTGCTGATCCTGCTCCCCCTAACAGCCCTTGCACACTCCATCAGATTGAAATGGGAGAGGTTTTCTCCCCCCTCAAAACTCCAGCACATCCCTCAGCAGAGCTCCCATAACCAGGAGTTTTGGTGACACCACGCTGCGTCATCATTTTGCCTCACTGGGGGCTCCTGGCAGCTGTGGCCATGCAAAAAAATGACATTTCTGGTGACAGAACCCATCTCTTTCCCCAGCTGAGCACACCAGGTTCCACCCAACCCAGTCCAGCACCTACCAGGTGATAGGGACCCCCTTCTCCATCCAGTATGGCACCGGGAGCCTGACGGGGATCATCGGATCCGACCAAGTAGCCGTGAGTGACCTTTGGGTTGCCCTGCTCTGGACAATGTGCCTGGGACTTGCCCACGGGCTTGGCCCCACCACAGAACACCCTCCCCCCTGCAGGTTGAAGGTCTGGCTGTGAGCAACCAGCAGTTTGCAGAGAGCATCAGTGAGCCGGGAAAAGCCTTCCTGGATGCTGAGTTCGATGGGATCCTGGGGCTGGCTTATCCCTCCCTGGCCGTGGATGGGGTCACCCCTGTCTTCGACAACATGATGGCCCAAAATTTGGTGGAGCTGCCCATTTTCTCTGTCTACATGAGCTCGTACGGACATGGCTTTGCTCTGGGATGTTGCTTGGAATCTGGCATTGCTTTAGGGAGCAGGAGGAGCTGCTAAAATACAGATATTTTACTGAAATAATGAAGGGGGGTTGGTACCAGATTGAGCATCACAGACCTCTGGCTTTACAGCACGTGTGGGGAGAAAGTTGGGGTAAATTCACGCTAAATGGACAAAAATCCTTCACGTGTCCTCCTCCCTGCAGGAACCCTGACTCCCCCCAGGGAGGAGAGGTGCTATTTGGGGGTTTTGACACCTCCCGCTTCACGGGCACGCTGAACTGGGTGCCAGTCACCCAGCAGGGCTACTGGCAGATCCAGCTGGACAAGTGAGTGGTGCTGGGCAGGGAGGGAGGGCAGGGCAGGGCTGGCAGAGCACGGCAAATCCCTCCTGCTCCTTCTCCCTTCTTCCAGCATCCAGCTGGGTGGGACAGTGACCTTCTGTGCCAACGGCTGCCAGGCCATCGTGGACACCGGGACATCGCTCATCACGGGCCCCACCAAGGAGATCAAAGAACTGCAAAACCTCATTGGGGCTGTGTCTGTGGATGGAGAGGTGAGAGCCAGGGTGGGGACAGGAGGGGACAAAGCCTTGGTGACCCTTCCCTGCTGGAAGGGCCCCTCCCGGGCAGCCCCTGAGCCCCCAGCTCTGTTCCAGTACACCGTGGACTGCAGCAACCTCAGCTCCATGCCTGACCTGACCATCACCATCAACGGGCTGCCCTACACGCTCAGCGCCCAGGCTTACACCCTCATGGTATGGCTGTGGCTCCCTCAACCCCAAATCCCAGCTGCTCCGGTGGCAAAGCTGGCCCAGCCCCATGCCAGGAGGTGGCAGTGTGTCCCTAGGGGTGACAAACCCCACCGGTTTCCGCCTCGCCACCATTCCTGGGTGTTTCCAGGTGCACGAGGCTCTCGGCTTCATCCCCAGCTTTCCACTTCTCCTCCCCCAGGAGTACGCTGATGGCATGGCCTTCTGCACCAGCGGCTTCCAGGGGAGTGACATCCCCCCTCCCACAGGACCCCTCTGGATTTTGGGAGATGTTTTCATCCGTCAGTTCTACTCCGTCTTCGACCGTGGGAATAACATGGTGGGGTTGGCCCCTGCTGTCCCTTAGGGCTGTGACATCCGTGGGGCAGGAGAGGAACGGACCTCAGCAGGGCAGTGGATGTCACCCTGTCCTCCTCAGTGTCCCCAGGGGGTGAAGACACCCAGGGATGCAGTGAAGAGTCCAGCAGAGGTTCAGTCCATGCCAGGACACTGTGATATAAAAATGTCTCGAGCAGCTCTGTGATCTGCTCTGCACATTCTCTGTTTTTGAATCCTGAGCCAATAAAAACTTCAATAAACCCAAATTTCTCATGCTTCTGTCAGCAGAAATCCTGCACATCTCAAAGGGTTATGCTGGGGGTTAAATTCTCCTTGCCCATGTCCTGCTCTCCTTCCTGGCTGATCTGTGGCACTACCAGAGCTGCACTTCCAGCATGGCTGGAGCTTCCCTGGCATTTCCACAGAGGCAGAGAGAAGGGGATGCTTTGCCCAGGTAGAGCAGAAATTCCTGGAGGTGGCTGTGGACATCCCTGAGCATCCCAGGGGCAGGGCAGGGGCCAAGGGAGCTCTGGGAATGCACCTTTCCTCAGCTGAGGCTGGTAAACAAGAAGGTAACAAGGAGACTGGAAAGACCCTGGGGCTCTTTCTGTGCCACAGAGCTCCCAGAGCCACTGGTGATTTCCAGGGAATTTTGCTTTGCTTCTCTTGGGGAACTCACAACACAATGTGCTCGGTGGGTCCTTGAAGCAAAAAGGGCAAAGCAGCTGCTGAGCCCTGGGCTGGGCTGGCTCAAAGTGTGGGGGCATGGGGGGCTGCAGAGAGGCCATGGGGCTCCTCAGGAGTCGCCCTGGCACATGTCACTTGCTGACAATGCACGGGTGGCAGTGGCCCATGAGTGATGCACGCTGAGGCAGTGAGAAGGGGAAGCACAAGAAAGGTTATTTTTATCCAGACCTTTGCTCTCTTTTCCCCACTGACCCTGAAGCGAGGCCAGCAGTGCCAAGGCCAGGGTGATGGAGTGTCCATGTCCCAGCCCAGCTTGGTGGCTGCTGCAGGCCTCCCAGAGCAGAGCAGCCTTCAGGGTGGGCCTGGGAGCTCTGGAATATTCAGATCTGGTTGTAAACTTTGGGGCTGAGCCTTGTGGTTTGCAATAAAGGGAGATATCTGCCTTACCCAGAGGCACTGATTGTGCCGCTGACCAGCGTGGGCTCTGTGACGTTTCCTGTGTTGACTTCACCCCTGCTGCAGTCCCAGATAAGGTGCTGGGGCTGCTGGACAAAGGTCTCCTGTCCCTCTTCCACCTTAACCCTTAGAATGCCAAGGTGCTGCTGAGCACGAGTCCAGGAGCTGGGGGGAGCATCCAGCTCCCCCAGCATGACAGGGGCACCCAGTGTCCCCAGACAGTAGCTGGCATGAGAGCGGGCCTGGCCTGGAGTTGCCCAGGACTGCTCTGGTGCTGTGTTTTTGGGATTTCAGGGCATTCCATGCCCTCTTGGCAGGTTTGGGGGGGAAGTTGTTCGAACAAGTGCGAGCATCCTAATAAAGAGCGATCCTGCTGCCCCCCAAGGAGGCTGAGCAGCGCAGGGAATGCTTGGATGCCCTTTGCTTCCTTCCCTTTCCCTCACTCCCACGGCTCTGTAGGGCACAGCCAGTCTTCTCCTTGTCCCGGTAAGTCTTTCCTCCAGCTGTGTCAGCCCCAGCCTGGGTTTTGTCACTTTCCTCACAGTCACAGGCCACAAAACCCACGCCTTTTCCTCAGAACTGCTGACGTGGGGGAGCAGCCAGGACGGGACTGAAGCTGTGGTCGCTGGAGCTGCTGAGTGACGCCTTGGCCATCACCTCCTCCCCACCACTGCTCCCACTGCCTTCATCCAGGCAGAATCTCAGCCCAGGGGGAAAGCAGGAGCTTTGGGAAAATCCCTTTTCCCTCGAAATCAAACAAAAGCCAGAGCTGAGGCTGATGAACCCTGGTGGGTACAGCCATCCTCGCTAAAAGCAGAAGTGGCCGTGGGCATCAGCTGCAGTTTGGGATCCACCACAAACCCCAGCCCCAGCAGCATGGAGAGGCTTTGATCATCTGATAGGGTGAGCAATGCCCCATCCCACCAGGGACATGTGAGAGGAACGAGGGCAGAAGTTGTTGCGGGGGAAAGTTGAACTAGAAATTCTCTGTGCAGGAACAAAGGTGAAGGAGGATGGTGAAAAAGGGCTGAAAATGGGGATTAAGAGAGCTGCTCCAGGGAAATGTCAGACTTTTACCCACCACTGGTGAGAACTGGCTCAGGTTCTCCTGCCTCAGCCCAGTTCCTCCCAGTGCCTGCCCTCTGGGGGGAAAAACAGATTTTTCTGGCCAGACAGGTCCCAAAATTACTCCTGGAGAAGAGGGGGAGGAAGGTTTGTCCTTCATAGCAGTGATCCTCCCTGAGATCCCATCAGGGTCTGCAAGAGGAAAAAAACAAATCTACAAAAAAAGCTGGAAGTGGAAAAGCAAAAGCCTTGGAGGGATCCCAAAACCTGGGCACGGGGACTGCCATCAGCTGGGGGGCTGCTGGTTCAGGATGAGGGAGGGTTCACAGATGGGGGACACCCCGCTCCCACTGCAAAGCCCAAATCCTACAGAATGCTTGGCAAAGGCACGGGACCTGCCCTTGCACGTCGGGAAGCAGAGCTCTGCCTTCGAAGCTGTGGCCAAGCAGGTTTTCCCACTCCTAAGAGCCCTGAGCACCAGCCTGGTGCTGGCATTGCTGAAATCCCCAAAATCCCATTTACTGATTGAACACATCCTCCTGCAGATGTCACCAGCTCTGCTTCCTCTTTTCGGGGTGTTTCTGGGGTGCCCGTGCAGCCTGTGGGTGCTGGGTGGGACCCCTGAGGGCTGGGGGCTGCAGGGATGTGACATGAGGGGCTGGAAATGCTCGTGATTCCCACCCTGCCCCTCTCCTGCCTGGAAAAGGAGACGAAGCCACACAGAGCCCCTCAGAGGGATCCCAGCCCCTCCTCACCCGTCCCCAGCTCCCAAATCCATTTACCCCATCCCACGATATCAGAGCAAAGTCCGCCATGGCTCCAGGGATGCTGCCACAGCCCCGCCCGGCTTTTGTCCTCATCCCTCAACAATTCCCCAGCGGGGACGCAGATAAAGGGTCCCGGGGCGGCGGCAGAAAGGAACCGAGGGGATTCTGAGCCAGACGAGAGGCCAAAAGTCAATCCCAAACTCCAGCAGTGAGGAGAACTTTGTTCCCCTTGCCCATCGGACCCCGAGCCGCGGCCACTCGGCAGAGCCGGGAATGGAGGGCAAATCCATGGACATCCCAGCGCCCGCCCGCCGCTCCTCCGGCCCCGCCGGCATCTCGGCCCCTTTCTGCTGATGTCACGGAGCGGGGCCCCGCAGCCGCCTGCCCCGGGAGGGCAGGGACCGGCCGCCCCTTCCCGGATCCTCCTCTCTCGCCTCTCCCCTGCCCGGCCCGGCTGCAGCGGAGCCGCGGCCGCCCCGCCGCCCCGGCAGGTGAGCGCTCTGCAGGTGAGTCCCCGCGGGCAGCCCGGACCCGCGGAGCAGCAAAACTCCATTTTGAGTTTAAAAACATCGGGCCTCCCAAAAAGCTGGCGAAAGCGCTGGGAAGTTTGTGTGTGCTGAGACGCGAGGCTGTGCCTGTGCCGAGGATGCTGCCCGCGGCTGGGCACGGGTGGCAGAGGGGTGCAGGGGGGCTGGAGCCCACGGCTGGGAGCTCCCCGCTGGTGATCCAAGGGGGAAGGGCGCAGGGCTGGCCAGCGCATCAGGGAAAAATGCAGGGATGAGGCTGCCAGTGTTTCCATCCGTGCCTTGGCCGGCGATGTCGGAAGCTGCCGCGGGGATGGGGCGGCTGCGGCTGCTGGGGGATGCTGGTGCCACCTGAGGAGGGGGTTTCAGGGGTCCTGGACAAGCCCAGAGCATGTGGGGACACTGGAATATAATGGGGACAAATTCTGGGGGGACATTTCGGGGCGCTCCTGGACGGGGATGCTCCCTAGGCTGCGCTTGAGGTGCCAAAGAACTCCTTCTGGCTGGGGTCTGATTTAATAAATTTAATTTTCAGCAGGACCCCAGGCGTGTGCGCCAGGCCTAGGGGGAGGGACTGCGCTGGAGAGGGGGTGGGAGAAGCAGGGAAGTGGCTCCCAGCAGGTTTGAATGGTGATGAACCGGCGAGTCCGGGCGTGCTCCGATTCCTCGGGAGCCGGCGGGGACGTGGGCCGGGCTTGGCACGGGGGCTTTTCTCTCCCCGCCGTTCCTGGCACACAAGCGCTGGCATGGCACGGGCACGATGCTGGCACGGGGAGGGCACAGCGACATCCCGGGGTGGCAGGGTGGGAGCAGGGACAGGACCCCAGGGCTCGCCGAGGTGCCACCCCCACAGCCCCATGAGCCCCTCTCGCCCCCCAGGGCCTGCCCATGGATGCCAGCAAGAAGGTGGATCTGAAGATCATCATCATCGGAGCTCTGGGGTAAGGAGCTGGCAGGGAGGGAAGCCCCCTGCGTGTGCTGGGTGTCCCCTGCCCACCCCCGAGCCTCACCAGTGCCCCTTTCCTCGTCACCAGCGTGGGCAAGACCTCCCTGCTGCACCAGTACGTGCACAAGACGTTCTACGAGGATTACCGCACCACGCTGGGCGCCAGCATCCTCACCAAGGTCCTCGCCGTGGACAGCACCCCCCTGAAGCTGCAGGTGAGCGGGGTGAGCTGGCACTGCCCACGGTGCCCACCCTGACCCCAGCTCTGTGTGTCCCACCCTGGCCTGCTGTGCCCAAATGCCACCAGGGTCACAAGGCGCACAGCCCGATTTTCAGAGCTGACTTTCAGAGCCCAGTTTTCAGAACTGATTTTCAGAGTCTGATTTTCAGAGCCCAATTCTCAGAGCCTGATTTCTAGAACCTGATTTTTAGAGGCGATTTTCAGAGCCTGATTTCTAGAGCCTGATGTTCAAAGCCTGGTTTTCAGAATCCGATTTTCAGAGCCGATTTTCAGAGCTGATTTTCAGAGCTGATATTCAGACCTGATTTCTAGAGCCTGATTTTCAGAACCCGATTTTCAGAGCCAATTTTCACAGCTGATTTTCAGAGCCTGATTTCTAGAGCCTGATGTTCAAAGCCTGATTTTCAGAACCCAATTTTCAGAGCCAATTTTCACAGCTGATTTTCAGAGCCAATTTTCAGAGCTGATATTCAGACCTGATTTCTAGAGCCTGATTTTCAAAACCCGATTTTCAGAGCCCAATTTTGAGAGCTGATTTTCAGAGCCCAGTTTTCAGAGCTGATATTCAGACCTGATTTTTCATAGCCTTATTTTTAGAGCCCGATTTTCAAAGCCTGATTTTCAGAGCCCAGTTTTCAGAGCTGATATTCAGAGCGGATTTTCAGACCTGATTTTTAGAGCCTGATTTTTAACATCCATGAACTGCACTGGAATCCCACAGGATTTCTGGGGGCTCAGCACCCCCTGAAGCTGCTCCTCTGGGCTGCAGCACCCACCCTGCTCCTATCTTGTGCCCTTCTCTGCCCTAGATCTGGGACACAGGGGGACAGGAGCGATTTCGGTCCATGGTGTCGACCTTCTACAAAGGCTCAGACGGCTGCATGCTGGCCTTCGACGTGACAGACAGGGAGTCCTTTGAGGCCCTGGACAACTGGAGAGACGATTTCCTGGAGAAAGTCATTCCCAGGGAACAGGAATTCCCCATGGTGGTGCTGGGGAACAAGATAGACCTCAGTGACCGGCAGGTAAGGGGGGAGGAGGGAGAGAAGGATGAGCAGTGGTGGAGTCACCACCCCTGGAGGGATTTAAAACTTGTACAGATGTGGCACTTGGGGACATGGTTTAGTGCTGGGTTAATGACTGGACTTGATGATCCTAAGGGTCTTTTCCAACCCAAACAATTCCATGATTGGGATGCTGTAGGGTCCTAATGGCTTTGTGGGCTGATCATTCACCTCAGAACCAGCCTTTTCTCTATCCTCACATAAACCAGAGCTCCAGGCAAGGAGTTTATGGAGCACTCTGGGAGGGGATGAGCAACATCCTCCTGCTGCTCTTTGGGGCACAGACTGTCCCCACCAGAGGCAGCAGGAATGACAGCCTCAGGCACTGCCAGCACCCCTCACCCCCTGGATGGGTGGGGAGGGTCCCTGTCCCATCCCTGAGCTGTGGCTCCACCCTGCTGTCCCTCAGGTGCCAAAGGAAACAGCCTCAGCCTGGTGCAAGGAGAAGGACATTCCGTATTTCGAGGTCAGTGCCAAGAACAACATCAACGTGGCCGAGGCTTTCGAGACTCTCGCGAAGCAGGCGCTGAGCACGGTGAGCACCCTGCAGCTCCGAGCTGTGCTGGGGGAGGATTTGGGGGAAAAATGGGCTCAGCCAGGGCTGATCTGACAGATCCTCCTGAGTGGAGCGGCTCCTGCTGCAGCAGAGAGCCCCGGGGATGAGAAACGCAGAAATGTTTGATCCTAAACCAACAGGAGCAGGAATTGCCGTGTGTTTTTCCCACAGTGATGGGAATGTGGCGTGTGGCACCACAGCGCGCCAGCACTGTCCTCTAGCGGCCGTGCCACGGGGACATCGGTGTCCCCAAGCGGTGTCTAAGTGGCTTTTGCCCGGACTTTGCCGTTAGTCACAAGCCAGGGCTGATCCCTGGGGACATCAGTGTCCCCAAGCCCTGTGCTAAGTGGCTTTTGCCCAGATTTTGCCGTTAGCCACAAGTCAGGGCTGATCCACAGGGACACTGGTGTCCCCAAGCCTGTACCAGGTGTCCCCAAGCCCTGTGCCAGGTGTCCCCAAGCCCTGTGCCAGGTGGCTTTTGACGGATTTTGCTGTTAGTCACAAATCAGGGCTGATCCATGGGGACATCAGTGTCCCCAAGCCCTGTGCTAGGTGGCTTTTGCCTGGATTTTGCTGTTAGTCACAAGCCAGGGCTGATCCATGGGGGTGTCCCCCACCTGTGCCAGGTGTCCCCCACCTGTGCCAGGTGGCTTTTGCCTGGATTTTGCCGTTAGTCACAAATCAGGGCTGATCCACAGGGACATTGGTGTCCCCAAGCCCTGTGCCAGGTGTCCCCAAGCCCTGTACCAGGTGTCCCCAAGCCCTGTGCCAGGTGGCTTTTGCCCGGGTTTTGCCGTTAGTCACAAGCAAAGGCTGATCCTTGGGGACATCAATGTCCCCAAGCCCTGTGCCAGGTGTCCCCAAGCCCTGTGCCAGGTGGCTTTTGCCTGGTTTTTGCCCTTAGTCACAAGCCAGGGCTGATCCCCAGCGCTCCGCTCAGGCTGCCTGGGAGCTGTGGTCACTCATCCTTTCCCTTCTCCGGTTCTTTTCCAGTATAAAGGGATTTTTGAGAGTTATTTAACCGACTCCATCAAGCTCACTCCCAACGACAAGCCCAAGCAGAGCTGCTGCTGACCCCGGGGCCGCTGGAGCCCGCGATGCCCACACGGACTGGCCTTGCCAGGGCACAGGACGGGCACTGCTGGACACACCAGGCCCGGCTGCCTGCTCATCCCGGGATTTGCTGCTTCCCACGGCTCTGGAGCTGCTCTCCCGATCGCCTCAGTGGCACGGTGGTGGCCCTGTCCCCCCTCGATCTGCAGCCGTGTGGCACCCGAGCGGGCGATGTCCCTGCAGTGACGGTGCCAGGGGTGTGGGCAGTGCTCCCGATGCCTCTGCAGAGACCACGGCCTTGGCACCACGGGTCACCTTCCCAGAGCACAGCCTGGTGGCCCCGCTGCTCTCAGGTTGGTACGGGCTGGCCTGGGGGGACAATTGGGGCTGGTGGCCTCAGCACAGGGACCAGGCAACGATTCTGTGCCTCAGTTTCCCCTCCTCTCATGCATATCCCCCATCAAACACCTTCCCTCTCCTGCCTCACTGGGGAGGATTCTCAAAAAAGCAGTTTGTCAGGGGTATTCTATTTTTTTTAAAGGAAATTAAATATTTCATTTTTATTTCTATTTATGTGTTGCAAAATGCTCCCCACATCCTGGAGCAGGAAGGTGGGGTGGGGGCTCCAGACTTTCCTCCCTGAGCCTGTTCATCTTCTCAGGGCTGGGGGATGCATTTTTGGTCTGGCTTTTTTTAATGGTTATTATTATTTTTTTATTTTCCCGTGGAAATTTTGTGTCAGGGGCGAGAGGAGGTGTGCAGTGGGTGTGCGGAGGTGGCGTGGGTCGGTCCCTCAGTCGGCAGAGGGAGCCCGCTGGGAGCAGAGCCCGGCTCCCGCTTCCCTCCCGCATCCATCCCGGGCCCCCTCCAGCAGCGGGGGCTGCCCGGGGACACAGCCACCCCTGTCCCCGCGCCACCTGCGGCTGCAGCACCCCCAGGCCGGGGTGGATGGACTCAAATTCCCAGGGAGGGCAGCGGGCACCTCCTGCCATCCCTCCAGCCCCCCGCACTGACCGCAGCGGTGCCGCAGCTTCCCGCAGGCTGCCCTGGCATCACCCGGGGCTGCCCATGGGGACAGCACCCATGGGTGGCACTGCCAGGGGCTGGGGCTGGCAGGTGAGCTCAGGAAGGGTGAAACCTGAGCGAGGGCTGGGCACGGGGGGCGTGGGGGCTCTGGAGCTGGAGCAGGAGCGCCCGGCCGGAGAGAACGGAGAGTTCCCACCTTCGTCCTTACGCAACGCTCCGCCTGTTTATTTGGGCACTGGGCCGGGGAGAGGATTTGTCCCTTTCTATTGGGAGGAGAGGGGCATTAACTATTTCCTCCCCACGTTCTGGACGCCCTTTCCCCACCCTGTACCTGCCCGGAGCCGCCCTCGCACCCAGCATCTCCCAGTTCATCCTGGCACCCGCCGGGGCTGTTGGGACACCTCTGCTGGGCACTGTCCGTGCCAGCAGCGATGTTTCTCATCACACCCTTCTCCCAGCAGCTCCCAGCGCTGGCAAACAAGAACCTGATCTGTTTTAGCCCAGCACGCAGCAGTTTGGACCGCCCGGGCTGAGCAGGTCACACAAATGCACACGGGGAGGGGATCCTCCCCGAGCCGGGGCTGGGCAGCCCTGGCACAGCCCGGGGCTGCTGTGGGTGCTGCAGCCTGTGAGGGAGGAGGTGGTGCCGGGTGGGAGCTGCAGACTTGCCTCAGGGTCCAGCTGGATGCTCTGGACAGGGCTGGGGTCACACCTGGAGCTGCAGGCACAGCTCTCTGCAGAATCCCTGGGCAGGCTCTGGGCTCAGACTTTGTGCATCATTCCAGACACGGGAATTAGGACTGTGAAGGATGCTGCAGCCTCGGGAGCTGGCAGGATCTCCAGTGGCATCACCATCGTGTAGAAATCCTGGCCAACACACCTCGCAGGGGTGCAGCACCGTGCTGGAGCCAGCTACAGCCCACCAGCTTTTCTTCTCCCTCCATCCCTCCCAGGCAGGGCGTCCTGCTGGCCAGGCTGCCCTGGGACAGGCAGGAAGGCCAGGAGAGCGGGCAGGGTGGCACGGTGCCAGGCAGGATGCTGGCAGGAGCAGCCCGAGGTGCCAAGCTGGTAACACTATCCCGCGGCCGAAACCCGATAATGGACAGGGGGAGATTTGCAACGCGTGGGATTAACAAGGTCAGCTCAAGATTTTCTCAGGGTGAAAATCAAAGGGGAAAATATTTGCCTTGTGTGACTCAGTGAGTTCCTGACAAGCCACCTGAGTTCCTGAGCTCACCCCGGCGGAGAGCCTGGCCTGTGGCCACTGCTGGGGAGCCAAACTGAGCCCTGCTGCTCTCCTGGCCACAGTTTAATAACCAGAGACTTCCCAGCTGCTCTGCTGTCCCTCCAGGCTTTCATTCCTGACAAAAATCAGTAAAATCCCACCCTGATGCTGGTCACCAAACAGGGACCATCCCAAGCCGCTTGCAGAAGATCTGCCCTCAGTATTTGAGGAATTAGCACCCCACACTCACCCTCAATCCCCGACTCCCAGTTTGCTTCATTGTTCTGAGGTTCAGTGACCCCTGAGAGCTCTTCACCAGCCCTGACCCCACCTGCTCTGACAGCCCAGCCCGTGCCCTGTGCTGCCTGATGGAACCTGCCCTGCTGAGCCCCGGCTGGTTCCAGGGCTGGCAGCGGGGTGGGAGAGGACGGATTTGCATCACAAATCCCCCTGCAAGGCTGGCAGAGAGCGGCTCCTCCGCTGCCCCTTCCCGAGACACATCCCAGGCACAGGCAGCAGTGCCCAAGAATCCCAGAATCAATAATTCAGGTTGGAAAAGCCCTCTGAGATCATCAAGCCCACCATGAAATGATGTGCCTGAATGTCCACCTACCCCAGCCTGTGGCACCTGGCAATGGGTGGGATTAAATTCTTTTACTGAAATGTGAGGATTTAAATAAAGGCACTGGAAAATACCTTAAAAAGCTGCAACAAGAATCAAAAACCACCAAGTTTTCCTGCTTGGAAGCAGAAGGCCCATTAACCTAGAGCTGGGACTGAGGGTAACGCAGTGGCTTCAGCCACTTCAAAGCTGACCTGATAAACACCAGCGGTTCAAAGTTCCAGGTAAACTTTCAAAGGCGTCAGACGTGAAAAACAAAGCCAGGGCATCACGCAAAGCCTTATCTCTGCCCAGTGGTGCCACCGGCCGCAGGGCAGTAAACACCTCCGCAGGTGTCAGCACAGCCCCTGGGTCACCGGGGCCACTCCCGGTCGCTGTCACCCGGCAGTGACCGGCTCGGGGTGGTGGCCTGGCCTGTGGCACACTGCGATTTCTTTCCAAGAAAGCTCCTGGTGCTGCGAATTACCTGAATGATTGTTGTCCCTTTCCTCAGTCGCCCCCGCAGTAGGGGGTGGCACTGATGCGGTTGGTGTGACTGTCCCCCCAAGGTGTGACTGTCCCCCCAAGGTGTGACCGTCCCCAGAAGGGACACACAATCAGCCCAGGTTTGAAGCACAGCTGTCCCCTCACCCTCTGCCTCACTGCCCACCCAGCCACAGCAAATGTTGGTGCTTCTCCTTCCCCCCCCCCCCCCCCCGGCCCATGGGAGGTGCTGTCCCCGTGTCCCACCCCCGAGCACACCCACGTGTGGGGTTGTGTGGGGTCACAGGGCTGTGCCTGGCCCCGGGGCTGGGGACAGCAGGGTCTAGGGACATGGCAGGGCTCAGAGCCAGCACGCAGGGAGGATTAGGGGCTGTGGCCAGTCCGGCAGCCAGCCCTGGGACATGCTGAAGTCAGCAGCCAGCCCGAGCCCCAGGCAGCCTCCCTGCAGCTGGGGCCAGCATCAGCATCAGCATCAGGATCGGGATCGGGATCAGGATTAGCATCAGGATCGGGATCAGGATCAGGATCGGGATCAGGATCAGGATCAGCATCAGCATCAGGATCAGCATCAGGATCAGGATCAGGATCAGGATCAGGATCAGGATCAGGATCGGGATCAGGATCAGGATCAGCATCAGCATCAGCATCAGCATCAGCATCAGGATCAGCATCAGGATCAGGATCGGGATCAGCATCAGGATCTGGATCAGGATCAGGATCAGCATCAGGATCAGCATCAGGATCAGGATCTGGCATGTGGGGTGGGCAGAGCAGCCCTGCCAGCCTGGCATGGGGCTGCCCCACTGTCCCACTGCAGTCCTCTGGGTTTTGCAGAGCCCCACAGAGGTGCTGAGGGCTGTGGGGAGAGGATCCCACCGTGGGGCAGAGCCTGGAGCAGGAGCAGCTCCAAAAGCAGCTGGAGAAACCCATGAGGGGCTGCTTTGATCAGCTTGGGATCCCAAATGGTTTGATCAGTTTGGGATCCCAAATGGTTTGATCAGCTTGGGATCCCAACTGCTTTGATCAGTTTGGGATCCCAAATGGTTCGATCAGTTTGGGATCCTGACTGCTTTGATCAGGGTGGGATCCTGACTGGTTTGATCAGGGTGGGATCCTGACTGGTTTGATCAGTTTGGGATCCCAGCTGGTTTGATCAGTTTGGGATCCTGACTGCTTTGATCAGGGTGGGATCCTGACTGGTTTGATCAGTTTGGAATCCCAACTGGTTTGATCAGGGTGGGATGGGATGGTCCCCATGCCAAGGGCCAGGCAGCAGCTCCGCGGTGGCCGGGGCAGCACCAAGCAGGGCTCACACGGGAGGGTGTGGCCCTTGGCACAGGGCTGGGCACCACCTTCCCATGGGAATTCCAGCGTGTGAGTTGGACCTGGCGAGCAGCAGCAGCCTCAGCCTCCTGCTCCTGCTGCCCGAGGAGGAGCTCGCTATTCCAAATTGCCCAGATTTAGGTTTGAGGTAGGCTGGACTGTGTCCTGGGTGAATAAGCAGCTCCTCAGAGTGTGAACAGACACAAACAACGGTGATCTGCAGCTCCACTTGTGCTGAGCGCAGGGGAAATGTGGATTTGGCTCCTCTCACTGCCCTGGCTGAGGGCATCAGTGATAAACAACACAGAGAATAGAAAATTTCAGTTTTTCCAAAGCTGCTGAATGGACTTTCAAGATTAAATACTTCAAATTGTGTTAGAAAGTTGATTCTGGCCCATTTTGGTATCACCAGCATCCCTGGGGATGCACCAGAGCAGAAGCCAGGGCAGCAGCAGAGCCTCCCTCAGGCCCTGGGTGAGGCTCAGGGCAGTGAATCCCTCTCCCACCAGGTTCCACCTGGACACTGCACCCCTCAGGCCCCAGATGCTTTATTTATCTTTAATTCCCTTTAACCAGCCTCTCTTCCAGGGCAGGCTGGCACCTCAGCTGGCCCCTGGCCTCATGACAGGGCTGCAGCACCAACACTCCTAAAACTCCTCAAAAAGGCAAAGCAGGCAGTGCTTTCATCTAAAATCTGCCTGCTGATCTCTCTGGCCAGGGGCGACAGGGCCTCCTCCTGCTCCAGCTCCTCACATCCAACACCTGAGCTCCTCTGCAGGCATTGACCTCAGAGCCCTGAACAATTTCAGGTTTATTTCAGGGCTTATCTCGCTCCCATCGAAGCGTTTGGGCCTTAATGAGTTGCCCAAGGGCACACAGCAGCAGTG